CTCTCTTCTGATGCTTGCTACGGGTGTAAGTCAGTTTGCCTCTCTCGGCCTCTGTTTTCTCCACTGTAAAGTGAGGTAGGGCCAGAAATGGCTGTGAGCTAGGCAGGGCCAGCATTTTCATTTATTTTCATTTCCACAGGTGGACAGAGGTTCCAATCCATGACGGGTGCCAGTTTAGCGATGCCCGTTTATTCTGAGCTGGCAGGGATCGCGGGAGGTGCTCCCCACACTTCAAGCCCGCGCGTGCTCTGCTCTTCCTCCACCGCCCTCCTCCATTCCCCTTAGGAAGCTAAACAAACTGTCTTTACAACCCTAAGTAAGGTTCTAGGCATCAGCCTGGAACCCCGAGTTTTCTGATTCTGCAATGAGGAGGAAGGATGCTTGGGGATGGAAATGGCGGGGGGGGGGGGGGGGGTAGCATGATGCAGGCTGGCCGCCTACCGAAAACACATGTACAGGTGAGTCCCAAACCCGTCCACTTGCGCCGGCCCACGCCCCCTGACCCTTGCCGGACCACAGTGGGAGCGTGCGAGCCCAGGACCCAGACTCCAACCGGCCAAAGCAGGATCTCTGCAGTTGATACTGGTTCCTCGGTCCGTGGGAGTCGCCCGCGGGGCCCTGACTTTCCCTTTCTAGCCGGGACCAACTGCAGAACTTGGGGCGCAGGGTTCCTGCAGGATCCTGGGTCCCTCCCTCCAGACCTTCCTTCTGGGCTGTGTGGAAAACCCGGCCAACCTAGTACAGCCCGTCGGAACTGCTCCATGAGGGTGGCAGGAGGTAGGGGAGAGAGCTGGGCATGCTCAGTAGGGGCGGCAGCTGGCCGGGGAGGGAGGGGGATGGGGGGGAGCGAAGAGGAGGGCGGGGGTTAGAAGTAGGAAGCTTTCACTGGACACACCCACCCCGGCGCTCAAATTACCTCCTCTCTCAAACTCGGGGCCCATTGGTCCGCGGGCGCAATCCTCCTCTCCCCGCAGCCCCCAGGTGTCCTCTCATTGGCTGCTGCTAACGTCCTGTCAGGCACCAGAGCCTCACTGGCAGAAAAGTATTCCCCATTTGTGATTGGTTATCAATAAAGATTAAGTGGAGAGGCGGAGGCCCAGCTGTTTCTCCGCGGTGTCTCCCGTCCCTTCCCTTTCCCCTCCCCCTGCTTCCCCCCGCTTCCCCCCCTTACCCCCCCCCCCCCCTCCCCCCCCCTCCCCCCCCCCCCCCCTTCCCCCTCCCCCCCCCCTGCAGAAGAAAGAGGGCCAGGCTGTACGGGGCTGAGCCCGGAGCCCCAGGTTCCGCACTTATTTAGGCTGAGCCAGGGTGGGCACAGCTTGCCAGTCCCTTCCCCGGCTGCAGCGCGCCCAGGGGGAATGCCGGCGGAGAATCTTCGCTCTGGCCTGGAAAGGGAGAGGCTAACACCCCACTGAGTCCTGCCCCCAAAGGAGAGGGGGCGGGGTGGGGGATAGAGAAAGGCTCAGCCTGGAAGCCAGTCATGGGGAGGAGAGGGAGAAATGCCCAGACCTGCTTCGAAGTCTCTCTGGTTAGGGGGTGGGAGTTCTGGCTCCCTCGTACTCATTGGGAGGTAAAGGGGAGCCGCCTCGGCTTGTCCCGGGCCTCCCTTCTTTCCCGAGGAGGAGAGATGTCAAGACCTGTCTCCAGATTTTAGAATCCGCAAGTGGTGGGCGGGGGAGGAGTCGATGGGTCCGGGGTGGTTGGGAGCCGTGAGAAAGACCCAGCCCAGCCGGCCAGTAAATAAAGGCACCAAGTTAGGAACTGGGAATAACTTCCGATGGTCCCACCTTCAGGAGGCACAGGGGTGTGTCAGCCCCCAGTTCAGTGGGGGCTGACACAGGAGTTCTGATCACCGCTGCACGCAGGATTCAGCGAGAGATCCCCAGTGACCCGAAGCCCCGGTACTGTGCCCGGGCTTTTAGACGGCCGAAGCACAAACTCTTTCAAAAGCACGAGGCAACTTTTTTTTTTCCTTTTGTGCCCAACCGAAGTTCTTTCAGCACATGGTTCAGATTGCTCAGTCAGGCGGGGTAGCTTGCTGCGGCTCCCAGGAGGACTCACCTTGAGGTGAGGAAGGTGTGGCCCACGCCACACCCTCCGGAAGGCCCTGCCTCTGCATTTGGCCACGAAGCGGTTAGACCGGAGGATGACTTGTCAAGTTCTTTGGAACAGGTCACAGGATGCTGAATTTGGGGCTGGAAAAGTCCTTGGAGTTCATCTAGTCCAAATGCTTCATTTTAGAGATGAGGAAATGAAGTGCAAAAAGGTAAATGACTTGCCCAACATCACACAGCTGGTGAATCAGGGTTGAAGTCCAAGGTCATTGGGCTTTAGCGGTAAGAGGTGATTATACTTCCACTATAGGCAGGAAGAGTTTAAAAAACAACACCTACAGAAAGCTTTCTCACACTGCATAGTTTATACATATGTGCATTGTATGTGTATATATGTATATATGTGTGTGTATTTTATATGACTTATTCTACAATTATGTCCTCTTTGAATCTCAAGGAATCTTCATGAAGAGCTCCCTAATGCTACCTGGTAGGCTTGAGGCCGCCCTTTTAGGACTGCCCCTGTCCCTTACATTCCATGACACACCATCACCTAGAAGGGGTCTCCTGGCTCATACTATGAGGTGATCAGGGAAATACCAAGTAGGCATGGACAACCCCAGACTGATAAAGAAGGAGCTCATAGGATTGGGATTAAAGCTCCAAACAAAACAAACCTCAGAGATCCTCTCATCGGCCTCTCCCCACCCCATATTACAGATGAGGAAAAAAGAAATGTGGGAGGGGAGAGCAAGCCCGAGTGCCATGTTCCAGGTAGTACCGCTAGTAAAAAGCAAAGTTGTTTCCAAATCCAGTTCGCTTTCTGTCACAGTGGAGACAGTCCAGCACTTAGCATAATTCCTGGTTCTTTCTAAGTACTGGTTTATTGCGTGGCTGACCTCATCCTCTGGGAAATCTCCACATCCTACCCAAGTTCTTGGGAACACTCTTCGGTGGCAGGGTCCCAGAGCTAGGACCTAGCATTTAGGTTCCAGGTGTTCCAGTTGGTGAAAGTTGGTGGTGTGGGTTCTTTCATAAAACTTGTAATAGCTGATAACCACATAATATTTTAGGGCTTTTCTAGTGCTTTCACATTTCTTACAATAACCCTGTGAGAAAGATGCTCTCACCCTCTCCATTTTGTAAGGGGAGGGGAGGGAAATTGAGGCTCCAAGTGGTTATTTCACCTGTCTACCATTACCTAGTAAGTGTCTGAGGCAGGGCTCAAACTCACATCTTTTTGCACCATATCACCTCTTTGATCAACTATAGCTGTATTCAAAAAGGTGCTTAGCCAAAGCTTCAAGGATGTGAGAAAATAAAAAAAGCCTCAGAAACCACTACTTCACAGATTTTAAAGGTGAAGAACCACATTTTGGGGTTCCTTTCTCCAAACTATAAAATGGGTCACCCTAAATAGGGTGGAGGGGAGAGTAGTTTACAACACTTGGTGAAACTTCAGTGATTTCTGAATCATTCTTGTAAAAGTTTTTATGATATCAGTGCTGGAAGTCCAGAAAGCTCAGAGCCATAAAGGTAGGTGCTTATCCTGAAGTAATCCATGAGTATTCTGAGGTGGAAATAACCAGTTAATAGCACCATCGGGAAAGATGCCAAAGAAAGCCAGGTAATAAAACGCTTCTGTGAAAATGGTTTAACATCTGCCGATAGCCCAAGAGGGAAAATATTTCCTGAAAAACAGGCCAAAGCTAAGGACAACCTGGAAGGACTGTTTAACCTTCAGGGAAGAGCTGTATCAGCTTAGGATTCTGTCCCTGACCTCTGTCATCCTTCTCATCAAAGGAAACAGTACTAGTGAACTTTTGATATGACACTGAGGTTAGGCCTTCAGATAACTGCAGAGTGGTTTGTTCTAACCTGGGTGATTGTTGACTCATTGCACTTATATCCAGTCCTGAAATCTCAGAATAATATGTAGCCTCCTCTCTTCCTCTACTCTAAACAGTTTGGTTTTTAGATATATATGTATATATGTATGTGTGTGTGTGTGTATATATATATTATATATATACACGCACACACATATGTATATATGTATGTATGTGTGTGTGTGTGTGTGTGTGTGTATATATATATTTAGAAATTGTTGGTGCCACCTATGGGTGAACACAATCTGGCTGATTTAGAAAATACAGAGGAAAGGTAAATATTGTGCACTTCGAATTACTTTAAGGTCATTATTTTCTCCATTTTACAGATGTGTAAACTAAGAATTGACTAGTTTAATCAACTTGCCTAGAGTTACACAGTAAGTAGTAGGGGCAGGATTTGAACACAGATGTTCTGGATTCCATTGTAGCGTATACACTTTCATGCTTTAATAATTGTCAATTTCTTAGGATGAAATTGAAAATCAAATCAAACTGCCTACAAGATGGAGCAGATTTCTTATCAGCTGTCTTTTGTGATGACATCAAATATTCTTTAAAAGTCCATGAGAAATGACAAACATTTCAAAAATAAGCCTTCATTAGAAATGTGAGAGGCTAGTGATATTTCTACGAAATAACCAGTCACCTGGAAAGTACAATGCCCATAAATATACTTTTAAAGATTATGAGTCAATCTCCCATTCAGATCTCACCTTGCTTGATCTCTCTTCTAGAGAGGATAATTGAGACAGATGGCTATGTAGTAGAAATGCCCAGGTTTTAGAGTTCCCCTCATCTTTGTCTAGAATTTCACTGGGGATGTTGGGAGGGTGGCTACCAGTTGCTTGGAAATGTGGGTACCTAGTGTGACCACTATTTGGGCTAGGTTGTATCTAATGTTTCTGCCTGAAAGAACCTGGAAAGAATTTCTCAGGATTGTGGAGGCTTTTCCAAGAAACTGGAAGATTTGGGAGGTGTGTGTATGTGGTGGTGGGTGGGGTGTAAGTTCAGGTGCTATTTTTATCACTGTGGCTCTTGAAGGTAAAAAACTTAAGAACACATGGGAGAATATAGGAAATGAAAAGCTGCCTATGAAGATGTTGTCTGAGAAATGATGGCTTGATATACATGAATGGTAAGTGATTAAGGGGAGAGGAGAGAGTCAGAGGTGTGAAGAAGGGGGATCAAACAGCCCCATAATCTGGGGGATGGGGATTTGGGAAGGGTAAAACAGCCATCCATAGCTCAATGTCCCCAAAGGCTGGGACTCTCTTACACTAAGACAGGCTGTCTTTCTGGACAGCCAGAAAGAGACAGAGAGACAAAGCAGAGAGATAGAGGCAGAGTGAAACACAGAGACTGAAAGGACAAGAGAAAGAGAAATAGAGAGACATAGAGACAGAGAGGGAGAGGCAGGGACAGGAACGGTGACATTTTAAGGTGATGGAATTTTACACTGGCTGAAGTTTTTGTTTTATGGGAGTTTAAAGCATTAATATTTTCAAGAACAGTCAACCTCATTGTTGTCCTATCAAAAAGCATTTATTAAGTGTGAGCTCTGTGCCAGATACAAATAAAAACCCAAAGTGGTCCCTGCCCTCAAGGGGCTTCTGCTTTTGAATCTGTAGGCATTCTTTATATGGTAAGTTACTGGTGTAGATGTTCATAAGCATCACGGAATTTGATCACTTTCACTAGAGTTGTGTCATTGCTGAAGATATAACCAATATTCAGAATCAAATCCTCAGAAGAGCCCACAGATGCCGGTATAGTCTCAAGCCTTGTTGACCTATTTTACCAGCTATATCTAGCTTTTGAAAGCCAAATTTCATTTTGGAACACCAAAGTTTTCTTTCAGCAGAAATGCAAAGCTTAGTGGCTAGCCATTTAGTTGCATAACCCTTTACGTTTTTGGTGAGTATTTGGTCAGAGAGAGGGGCACTCTGGGATCACATTCATGTGGAACAGTGGTCTGAGGAGCCTGATTTAGCCATGTGCCTGATAGGACATTACCCAAGTTTTTATGGACTCTGACTCTGCAAACAAAATGAACAGTGGACTTTTCTGCACATTGCTATTATGTAAAGAATGAAGCAATCTCTCAGCCGTCATCCTGTGTGTCTGGGAGGCCCTGGGGGATCCTAAGACAAAACTGAAAACAGAACTTTCCTTCAAAGAACTTTCACTCTATTCAAAAGGGACAACGAAATCAATATGGGGGTGGGGGGGACACGGGGTCTGAGGGAGAAGAAACTAGCACCTGTGGAAATCAGGAAGGGCTTCATGCAGAAGATAAAGGGAGAGCTAAATCTTGAAGGAAATTAGGGGTTTGCTATATGGAGGTGAGTAGAAAGTGCACTCCAGGAATAAGGGAAATCCAATGCAAAGGCTTGGAGACCAGAGATGCTATGTGAAAGGATAGCAATAACAGTGTGTTCAGATTGCAGGCTTTTCCTATGCTCTCCCTTTCTAAATTGAGTACACATTTCCATTTTTTCTTCCAGTGCTAACAGAACTGCATTATGGTTACGTGCTTTGCTTTTCACTAGATTTGGAATCTATCCTGTGTGATACAACCTATTTTGTTCTGCTGCCCATGAATACATTGAGATACACTCATGTCCTACACTGAACTGTTGTGGTTACCAAGCAGTCTGCTGCCATTTAAATGCAGTGATGTTTTATAAGACTATTGAAGTGAAGAGTACTTAGCCAGTAAATGTAGCCTGTGATTCTGTCCTCATCCCCTTCCTACCGCACAAGGCTAAGCTGTGATCCCTACATCTTTAGCACATCATATTTTTCCCTTGGGGGTTAGGAAGGTTCAGGGAGCTGTCTGTCCCAGAGCCAGATTGTGGAGTAGTCTTGTCTCCTACTCTGAGCCTCTTCTCTACGCCTTCTAATCCTCACCACCCCCAGTGCATCTGTCCCACAGAAGCACAGTATGGTAAGACCAAATGAGACCTTTTTCATTTTGTGGATGAGAAAATGGAGGTGCCTGTAAGAGACTTGATCAAGGTCACACAGTTATTAGGTGATGGGGCCAAGCTTTAAGCCTCGATCTTCTCGCTTCCAATTCAGGGTTATAGCCCCTGACAAGCTGGTCACCTCTACTATCTTCCATCTTCTCATATCTCCTTTCTCGTCTCTTCAATCACTTTTCTCACGATTCTACACGTTTATGTAAAAAGCTTAGCCTTTTAATTCTCATCACCAGACACTACTCCTTTCATGAATGCAACAACCCCACCAGTCACAGAATGGTAATATTAAAGCCTTCACATTTCCTTGGTTCTAGCCACCCATATCTATTTCTGTTTTGGTCCATTTACTGAGTACTCAGGAACTGCTTCTTTGCCATAGAGGAGCATGTCGTTTTCCCCTTCTCCTTTTCAGATACAGAACTGCACTGAAAGCCAGAGGGTTCTCAAGGTTCTGTCCTTTAGACAGCTGAGTATTGACAGTAGCATCACTTTATAAATAATGAGATATGTGGTATACTGTAATGGCCAAAGCTTGCAAAAATTATAATAGTAATATGGAAATGCTGTAGAACCTTGTCTATATGGACCAAAAGAAAGAATATCGTCATGACTGAAAATTTCTGGGCATTGGGAATCCTAATCCATTGATTATGGAATCTGATTGTGAGAATTTTCCCTGCAAACTCAGCTCATCTGGTACCTTTTCAGATCATAAACAATATACTGTTGTGCATCAATCAAAAAATGAATTATAGGGGCAGCTAAGTGGTACAGTGGATAGAGCTCTGGCCTTAGAGTCAGGAGGACCTGAGTTCAAATCCGGCCTCAGACACCTGATACTTACTAGCTGTGTGACCCTGGACAAGTCACTTAACCCCGATTACCTCACCAAAAAGCAAAAAAAAAAAAAAAATACTCCCTGGGAATCCTGATTCCAATGTATTTCTCTTATTTAAAGGCTGAAATGCACTTCACCAAACATCCTTCTTAATGCTGCAACTACCGTAAGTCTAATAAGCAATGTGTTACTCCCTATGTAATCTGACAGCCTCATCTCCATTGTCACTAGGAAACACATTTGGGAACTCTTTTGCTCACTCTGAGATTTGCTTTAAAAAAAAATTTTTTTCCTTGGCACCCTTCAGCTTACTAACACTTTGAGCTGTCTTCACCAGCATGTAACTTGGACAACATCTTGCAATGGACAGATGGATATGCTCTTGGGGTATTATTCCTATAATGAAGAAAATGTTCCCTTTAACCAGCATCTGGGTAAGCTTTGGAGTTCTGTCATAGGTTAAAAATATAGGCAGAAGTAATCCTTTTTCTCCACGTAAGGTGACTCTGCTAGTCATTTATTTTATTCTTGCTTTTTTTTTTTAAATTTGAGACAAGATCTATGCCAAGCTTTGAAATCTCAGATGAAGTCTGTGTTCACTAAAAAAGCCATGTATATAAAAAGCAGCTCTTGGACATTTCTTTTTATCATTCATTTTGATGGAAGTCCTCCAAACATGCTACCCAGATGGCCAGTTTGTGAATCACTGGTGAGACTTTTTTTTTTTATCTGTAACTGCAACATTGATGAATAGAGTTCTACACATACACATGTATGCACAAATAAATGAGATTTTTATTCATCATTACAGGCAGTTATACTATCCATGGCTCACCCAAGTGAATTATCATATTTAGCTGGTTAGCCTTCACTCAACAACATAAATGCAACATGACATCATCCTGATATGTCTGTAAGATAAGTCTGCCATTCCAATAAGATCATTCTTTGTGAATAACACCAAACCTAAATTGATACTTTCCCAATTCTGCCAAGTACTCAAACATTTAGAACTATGAAAGAAGTAAGCAAAGAGAGATGAGATAAGAAAGCAGGAAAAAATGGTCAGAAGGGAGCTAAGGCAGCAGCTGGAATGCAAGACTTTTGAGTCCCAGGATTTGAGTTGAAACCTGGGCTTGTAGCTTGAGACCAATGGGACTTTGGCAGAGTTTGAGCTAGGAGGTTTCTTGCAGTCATGGTAAGTACCACAAACTGGACCTAGAGTCAAGCAGGAAAAAGCACATTTTCAATTTGGTGTTAGGGAGGTGGAAAAGATAGGGTTCTTTTTGGAAAGGGGGGATAAGGGCAAAGCAAGACAGGATCAGAGAGAAGCTCAATATAGCCTAGAATCTAGTAGCCTTCTATTTTAAGTAATTATTCCTGCTAATGAGGTACCACTGAAGTACTTGAAGGTCTATCAGCCTACTCCAAATGAGATACCCTCCAAGTCTGACTCCCTATGTCACTGTCTCAATTGTTTGTCCCTACTTAGGGCTCTCTTCCTTGGATAAGTCCTTTTTGTCTGAGGGTAGTTTTCCCTTTGGGATGAACTAGGTAATCCCCAAGTCCTCCGAATGGCAAAGCCTAATGTGAAAACTAGAAACCTGGTGCTACTTAAATTTAGTTATTTTTGTTATTGTTCCATTGTTCAGTCACGTCTGACTCTTTGTGACCTCACAGACCTTTTATTCTCCACTATCTCCTGAAGTCTGTCCGAGCTCGTGTTCATTGCTTCCATGACACCATCTATCCATCTTATCTTCCACTGTGCCGTTTTCTTTTTGCCTTCAATCTTTCCTAACATCAGTTTTTGTTTTGTTTAGTTTTTCCCCATTGAGTCTTGTCTTGTTATTATTATTCCCCAGAGTATACTAGACACTTACTTTCACAATACAATCTAACAAATAGTATTTAAGCTGACCTTTGGTATAACACCTTGTTTTAAATGACTCAGTTCATGAATTCTGTATTAAATATCTAAAGACTTTTTCATGTAAAGCAGTTTCTTTCTCCGACTTCCAGAATATAATTCCTTTTTATGACCCAACTCATTGCCTTTGCGGCCACCACCAGGGGTTTTGGGCTACCCTCTTAGGTTAACAGGAGCCTAGATTTCTAGTAGGAAAAGACCATACAAGGGACTGAGTCCAAGATGAGGAAACCATGAGTGGTTAAATGATTTGTTCAGGGTCACAAAGCTACTTTCTAAGATAGGATTTGTAAAGAGTCTTCCTGGCTCTGAGTCAATTACACTCACCATTATACCATGCTGCCTCTTTCTTTTATTTCCCATATCCTTTCTTTTACTGAATCACATATAGCAAATTCTGAGAACAGTCATCTTGAATACAGCTGAAACTGCTTTATTCCAGGCAGGGGGAATGATAATTCTATGACTTGTTGGCATCAAAAGATACAAAATAGGAGCAGATAGGCAAGATCATAGAGCAGATGAAGAGTGCAGATTTGTTCCATTGGGAGTTTAGTTTTACCGAAGAACTCCATTGGTACTGGGTGGCTGTAGGTCCTGCTCCGTTCCTGACCTAGACCTTTCTCTTCTCTGGCTCTCTTAGAAGCCTTCAACTTCAATCGCTTAATTTTGAGGCATTTCTTTAGTGCCTACTATGTGCCAGGCCCTGATGATTCAGCTGTGGTGTATCTTGGTTGAGTATCCTCGCCCTCAAAGGAAGCAATAGATCTCAAGTCTAATGTCATCCCTCTGTCCAGTAAGCTGCAGTTGCTCTCTATTATCCCAAGGATCAAATACAAATTCCTTCACTGGGAAGAGAAAGCCTTCACAGTCAGGGTGCAGCCTCCTCATCCAGTCTCCTTTGACTTTCATGCAAACTCCACATTTCATGCCCTGGGTCCATACCTTGACACTGACTGAAATGCCTGGCAAGCCTTGTCTCCTCACCTCTGGCCATTTGAGGATCCTTCATCCTTCCTGCAAGATTCAGCTCACCAGCCACCCCTGTGGGAAAACCTTCTGGATTTCTTTGTTTTAGTGTCCTTTTGTGTGTGTAAACGTTACCCCTCTTCCTTCTCCATGAAAGCTCCTTCCAGGTCAAGGTTTTGGCTGCTGGGCTTCTTTCTGTTTTTGTTACAAGGGAAAGTTTGCCAGGGAGACAAGATGCCCAGGAAGGGCATCTGTAGGATTGACTATGATGTAAAGGTGAAAAACACAATAAAACTTAGCAAAAAAAAAAAAAGTCCCATGCAAGTTTCTTGCCAGGGGGAGTGTTTCATTTTTTTGTACTTGTAACCCCAGCACCTAGCACGTGCCTGACCTGTGTTAAGCATTTGATCAATGCTTGCTGATTGATTGATTGATTTAGGACAGAGAGCCCTCTTCTCTTCCCTTTTTTAATCCCCAGGGCCTTTCACATAGTAGGCACTTAGTAAATCCTGCTGGAAGTGAATCGATTGGCTCCACTTCTGGTCTCTGGTTATGTATTTCAGCCCAATCTCTTTTTCCCTCTTGACTGAGCATTAGCTTTCTCTGAATCCCAGCTTCTACTCATGAATTCTTCCTTTTCCCTAGCTGTAACTTACACCCCAGGAGTGAGACTCGGGGCATAAGTGGAGTCTGCCATGCTGGAATCCCTGATGATTTCACAGCAGTCATTCTCTGGTCTAATCACCAGGCAGTTGGGCAGCCTCAGGGAAGGAAAAAGATTAAAAAAAAAAAAAAGCAGTGCTTTCATGGAGATGAGCTGATTACTGAATTTCCTCTGCCCACATAATCCTATTACCTGATACAGGCTGCTCCTGGCTAAGTAACTATTCTCTTTGGGGTAAAGACTTTTGGAGGAACATAGGGATGTTAAAGAGAGACATGATGTATAGATGTATATGTATATCGCTATACTAGGCATTACTGTGTCATTGCAGGGTTGTGAGCATTACTCCTTATTCATTAGTTGAAAGACCTGGGTTCAAATCCCACATCTGATGTCAAGGCTGTCTGACCTTGGAAAAGTCACTGAATGTCCTTCAGCCCTGGTTTCCTCAAATGTTGAATGCAAGGGTTATATGCAGTGGTCTGTGCTATACCTTCTGGCTCCAACTCTATGAAACTCTATTACCATGGTTTATACTCAGAGTTTTCCTTCATATCTTACAAGCATTTAGCATAAAGCCATTTAAAAATGTGAAAGGATAACTGGATTACAGGATTTTGAGCTGAAGGAATGTTGGAAATCATTTATGGCCTCATCAGCTTTAGCACAGGGTACCTGGCACTTAGTAGGAGCTTGATCTTTTTCTTTTTCACTCTTTTTCAGATCTTTTTCAGTCACATCTGACTCTTCCTGACCCTGTGTTTATTCACTGACTAATTGACTAATCATCCTTGGAACACTGGCTGCTGAGGCCACTGAGCACTAATGAAGGTGGGCGCTACAGTTTGTAGCAAGCCGGAGAAATCGGCTATCCTAGAGTTACTGAAGGAGTAAATATAGCATTAACAGAATTAAGAGGGCTGGCTTCAAATTTAATCAATCAATTAAGCTCCTACTACTCCGTCATTGTGCTGAGATCTAGGGATACAAAGAAAGGCCCCAAACCGTCCCTGTTTTCTAGGTGTTCACAGGAAACCACCGAAACGATCTTCAAAAAGAAGTCATTAGCATTTAGGGGAGTGGGGAAAGACTGGTTGTGGGAGGTGGGAGTTCAGCTGGGACTTAAAGAAGCGGGGAAAGTCAGGAGGTCGGATTGAAGGGGGAGACACATTCTAGGTCTGTGAAAATGCCTCTAGGGCTGGAGATGGAGTGTCTGAAAGAAAGGGGGCCCTTGTCACTAGACAGCAGTATGGGAGTGAGTGGGGTATGGCTAGACTGGAAAGAGAGGATGGGGCCAGTTGATGAAAAACTTTAAAAACCAGAAGACTTGAGGAGCCACCAACTTTTAGTGAACAGGACGAGCATGACATGGTCAAATTTGAGCTCAAGGAGGATCCATTGACAACTGAGTACAGGATGGGTCAGACTGGGGAGAGACTTGAATCTGGGAGGCCAACCAGAAGTACTTTTATTTAGTGTTTGAGTTGCACTCTCTTGTGCCAGATAAATGGATGAAAATGCTGTTATCTTGTACCTATTAAGACCTAGAGTACAAACGCAGCAACAATCACTGCCCTCCAGGAGTTTATATTCTAATTTGGGGAATGCTACATACACTTCCTCACCTTCAAAATGAACAGGAAATAGCAAACCACTCCAGTATCTTTGCCAAGAAAATCCCCAAAGGAGTCCCGTAGAGTTCGAAACGACTGAACAACCACCGACATAGGAGAATGGTAAACCAGAAGGAGGATTTTGATCCAGAAAGTTTCTGGGACGTTTAGTAGAGCAAGAAGGGGATTAGATGGACGCACCCCATTCAGGAAGAGTGGAAGAGCTGATTGGGTCTAGGTCCCTGTTATCTGAATGGGGGAAGAGGTAGAAGGAAGAAAATGCTTGAGCTAGACTTGTTTGCCAGGCAGTGCTACACAGGAATATTAAATGAGATTTCAAAAGTAATTATAGAAAAACAAACCTATCTTACACCATTGACCTCTTTCAAATAAATGTCTGCCTCACTTTTAGGAGAGCAGAAAACTGAGCAACAGAAATTACTTGAAACAAATAGTGATTTCTTTATGTGAGGAAATGGCCCTGCTTCACGAAAATGAAGACAGAATGTGAAGTCATCAAGTCAACAAGTATTTAAAAGCAGCTGCTGTGTGCCAGGTGCTGTGCTGAATGTTGGGGATTCCAAGTGAAGAGAAAAGAATGGTGGATCTGGGGTCAGAAGACCTGGGCTGAAGTCCAGATCTGTGATTTCATTGTCATAGGAAACGCCCACTACCCATGCTGAGAGGCATCTGAATAAAAAAGTAAATGAAAAAGAATAAACAAGTAAAGTCTTACTATGCAGCAAGCCTTGTGCTAAGGATTGGGAGCACAAAGGAGATGATCCCTGTTCCCAAGGAGCTCCCGATCGAAATGTGGGAGATGGCACACAGAAGAGTGTGGATGGAAAGGCCCAGAAACTCTAAGAGTCCATGGGCAGGTCAGATAGCAGTGGGAGTGGGTGGGTGGGTGGGAGCGGTTTGGAGGACAGAGAAGGGCCTCATCCACCATAACAGGAAAGAGGGATCATGGGCTTTAAGGTGTACAAAGAGCAGGGAACCTGAGTTCCCCCAAGCTGGGTTAGCGACAGAGGAGTTGGGGGTGGGGGGATGTCAGTGTCTAGCATGAGGAAGAACGGGAAGGAGACATTGACTGGAAAAGTGGAAGAGAAAAGTCTTCTCCTATGTGCCCAGATGAGGTTGTTGGGTTGAATTGGAAGGAGGGAAGAGTTCCCCAATTAGCCCATTGGTTATAATGAGGCAGCTAGATGATGCAGTGGTTAGATAGAGCAATGGACCTGGAGTCAGGAAGGACCCAAGTTCAAATTTGACCTAGACACTGTGTAACCTGGGCAAGTCACTTAACTTGTCTGTCTACCTCAGTTATCTCAACTGTAAAATGGGGATAATAGCACCTACTTCCCAGGGTGGTTGTAACAGAACAAATGAGACAATCTTTGTAAAGGTGTTTAGCACAGAGCCTGACATATAGTAGGTGCTTAATAAATGCTTGTTTCCTCCCTTCCATGGGATCTTCTCACAACTTACTGTTAAGCGAAGTTACAGAGGGGTACTGAAAGGTTAAGGGACTTGTCTAGGGTCATCATAGTGGGTCAGAAGTAGGGCTTGAACCCAGATCTTGACTCCAAGACCAGTGCTATTCATTATGACAGACTGCTTCTCATATTCCATGTCCATTTCACAGACTAGCAAACTGAGGCCCAGAATTATTGAGGGCCGAAGACTTGGTAAATGTCAAAGGTTGAATTCCATCCAAGGCGTTGGTGATGCCAAGTCCAGCTTTCTTTCCATTATGTTATGTAGTTACTCATGATCGTCTAGCCCACTTCTGGGTAGACCATAAGCAAGGAAATCAATGGCAGAGAAATTGACAAAGTAATTGAAACAAAAAAAAATAATTGAGCAACTCACCCAGTGCCATACACTTAGCTACTAGCAGGGCCAACCAAGAACTCTGGTGGAGAACCTTAGATTTAGATTAAAAGTAGAATTTAGATTAGATTAGAAAACTAGAATATTGTCTAATTCTCATTTTAGTACTTTTCCCACTCGCGTTGCATACTCACATGAAGGATCTTTTTTTGCATGTGGCTACTCTCTGGAGCAGGGGATTATATAAACAAATGAATTCTTCAATTAGTCCTAATGTGACATTTCAACAGGATTGGGACAAGGAATGGATTGGAGGTTGGGTGAGGGGGTCACATTGCTACTCTAATAGAATGTTTACATTAATATACTTAGAAAAGGGGAGCAGGGAGAAGCTAGAAGGAGCCCAAGGCAAACGTCATCACAAAATACTGTTGAATAAATCTCCAATGTGAATAAGGGGCTTTGTTAGGTGCTATTTTAGTAAGAACAATGACAGCAAACGTATAGCCTAGGCCACTGTGCTAGGACCCAGGGGAGACACAAAGATAAATACAGCTCAGTCCCTGCCCTTGAGGGTACCTAACTTGGTTGCAGATAATAACAGAAGATACATGAAAATGAGGGCATTAGGAATATACCAAGAAAATGCTCTTGGATGTTGCAGGTCTGAATGGTACCTTTTTAAGAGGTGGGCAGGGATCGGAAAAGCCTTTGCCGAGGCATTTCAGGGGGATCTTTTTAAAAGCCAAGTTTAGGGGAGGAGCAGGGCAGGTATTCTGGGTTTAGCATATGATGTTAGATAAGGAGGCAGGAGGCGGGAAGTACCAGAAAGATGTGCCCATGATGTCATATGCCCCAAAGCAATAGCAAAAGATCCCATCATATCAGCTGGGCTGTGAACCCAGTGTCACCTTGGACTCCACACTCTACCCCTTCTCCCCCACCATATCTAATCTGGGGCTGAGCCCTGTCACTTGATGTTCCTCACATTTCGCCTCTGTGCTCCTTTCTCTCCTCTGATGCTGCCACCATCCTTGCATGGGCTTCATCATCTCACACCTGAATCATTGTACTAGCTTCCTGGTTTGGCTCCTTGCCTCCAGGCTCTCCCCTCTCGGGTCCCTCTTCCACTCAGCTGTCAAATTGATCTCCTAAAGCCCAGGTCTGACCAAACACTATCCCCTCCCCCCTTCAATAAACTCCACTGGCTCCCTATTGACTCCAGGATGAAATATCAAGTCCCCTGTTTGGCTTTTAGTGTTCTTCATGACCCAGCTTCTTCACATCTGGCAATCTTCTTCCATCTTTCTTTTTTTTTTCCTTTTTTGGCTAGGCAGTGGGGTTAAGTGACTTGCCCAGGGTCACACAGCTAGTCTTCTTCCATCTTTCTCACCTGTACATACCCAGACATCCAGTGACGATAGCCTTTTCACTGTTCTTGAATACCTTACTCCTCCTTACTGGAAGTGTTTTCCCTGCACATCTGGGACCGTTTCATCTCTGCCTCCTCACTTCCTTGGCTTTCTTCTTATCTCAGTTGACATTCCCCTTTCTATAAGAAGCCTTTTCCAGATCTCCTTAATTTGAGTCCCTCTCCTCTGAGACAACCCTCTATTTATCCTGTACTGTATATATTGTGTTGATACACAGTTATTTTTGTTTGTTGTCTTCCTTGCTATAGGGGGGACTTGAGAGCACGGACTGTTTTGTTTTGTTTTTTCAATTAACAAGCATGTCTTTTCTCTCACTCTCACTCTGCCCATCAAACAAAAAGAAAAAAAAGAGGTAAAACTCTCATAATAAATATTAATAATCTAGTAGATTTCCTCATTGGCCAGGTCCAATAATACTTGTCTCATTTTGCACCCTCAATCCATCACCTCTCTGTCAGGGTGTGGGTAACAGGCTTTATCCTGGTACTCTGGTTGGCCATTATACTGACCAGAGTTTTAAACGCTTTGAAAATTATTTTTTCTTTTATAATCTACCCCCTTCATCAATGAAGCCCAGAGAAGTCAAGGGACTTAACCAAGTTCACTTGGAATAAGTGGTAAAATTGGGATTCAAACTAACACCATATCCCATAGTTTTCCAAGGAGCATTTCTCTATTACATTAACAGAGCACTGAAACAACCTTGTGAAGTAGCTTCTAGAGGCATTACTATCTCCATGTCACAGATGAATTCCCTGAAGATGGAAGAAGTTGTGCCTTGTTTCTGACCACTGAGGGTCAGAGTCCAAGAGTTGGAGACAGAATTTGAATCCACGTCTTTCTGACTCCCAATTCCTATATCCTGTCCTCTAGAGACCACTGCCACTCCTAGGGTGTATGGAGTAGAGTATGTGAAGGAGGGTGATGGAACTGGAATGATGGGACAAGGCTGGGAAGGCGGGTTGTGGAGGTCATGCAACGTCTGAGTTGGTACTTGATTGGCAGGCAATCAGGAAACCTGTCAAGCCTCAGACGGGGATGTCACAATAGGAGAGGCGGTGATAGTCACAGAGCAGGACACCTAAAATGAGTCATTATTGTTTTCCACGGTTAGAACAATGCCCGCCTTGTTTCTGCCATTTCCCTGAGAAAGAGGACGAGGCAAAGATTTCTTAGACATTGACATTGTAACTCCTAGATTGTTTATTTGAATACTCTCCCACAGCTACTTTCTGGGAACATCAGAATTTGAGTCAAGTCAGGTCAATAAGCAATTATTCAGCACCTACTATGTGCTAAGGGGATAAAGAAAGGCATAAAATAGTCCCTACCCTCAAGATGTGCATAGACTAAGAGGGGAAACATCATACCACAACTCTGTACAAATAAGACATACATACAAAGATACGTATAGATATATAAGATAAATTAGAGAGAATTCTAGAGGGAAAGCAATAAGATGAAGGAGGACTGGGAAAGGCTTATTGCAGAAGATGGCACTTTAGCTAAAACTTAAAGGAAGTCGGAGAAACCAGGAGGTGGTGATGGGGAGAGAGAATTACAGGTATGGGGGACAGTGAGTGAAAATACTCAGAGTATGGAGAAGTGTGGTGTTTAAGGAATAGCAAGGACGCCCTCATCACTGGATCACAGAGTATATGAAGTATAAGAATACTGGAAAGGGAAGGGGACAGGTTATAAAGGGTTTTCAAAGCTATGGAACCTCCTTCCCTTCTAGGCTTCCCAATGAATCAGTGAAGCATTTATTAAACACCTACCATGTACCAGGCATCATTTGAGGTGCTGCAAAGACAAAAATGAAATTGTCCCTACCCTCAAAGAATTTACATTCAATCGGGGGGGGGGGGGGAATATGTATGTAAACATTTCTTGGAAGTTCTGCAAGTCAAGAGACCTGCTAACCCAGTTAGGTTCTGACACCAGTTACAAGTGTCATCAGTTACTCACTGTTCTAGGTCACCTCTATCTAAGATGGGATGATGTTCACATCTAGTCATCTAATTGTGTGTCTGCCTACTAATTGACCTTCATGATCAATCAGGAGGAATGGATTGGCTCCAGGCTGGCCTGGTTTCCCCCTTGTTCTCCGTCCTTGGGGAAAGCAGGCTTTACATTAAAGGGGAAATGGGAAGGCAATGAGGAAGCTTTGAAACCCTCCCAGCTCTGTCCCATGTTCCTTTCCTTCTGCTATTCCTTTCACCACCAAAATAAGAAGAAGAAGAAGGAGGAGGAGGAGGAGGAGAAAGGAAGAAAGAAAGAAAGAAGGAAAGAAAAAGAAAGAAAGAAAGAAAGAAAGAAGG